GTGCACCACCTGGGTTCAAAGCTTGCAGAGGCCAGAAGGGGGCATCAGATCCCCTGGAACTGGATTAAAGGATAGATGTTAGCCACCATGTGGGTGCTGGGAATTGGACCTGGGTCCTCTGGAAGAACAGCAAGTATTCTCAAGTGCTAAAACATATCTCCGGTTCCTTTTTTTAAATCTTTCAGTAGTATGTTTTATATGTCTACAGAATACTCTAATAGACTTCCTGTGGCCCAGACCTACAAGTCTCTCAAAGAAGCCCTGCCAGAGTACCCAGAAACCATAAGCACATGCCAGTGTTGACCTGGAGTTTCCTTCCTAGGAGTTCTGCTTGTCAAACAGGTCTTCCTAAACACATCTCACAGCTTCTAGTTACCAGGAATGTTTGGCCCCCCACCATGTCCCTTAAGGACACAAGAGCAACTCTGCCTTTTTCATGAATTCTACCTCTAGGAGCTACTCCCTGGCTGTTAGTCACCATGTATTTGACCTACCCTGTGAGCTTATCACGGACTGCTTCCTACTCAGATCTTTTGTTTAGTTTCTGTTAGTGGTCTACATAGTTTATTGAAACAGACTCTTACTATGTAGCTCTGACTGGCCTGGAACTCTCTATGTAACAGAGACTGATTTTGAATTTCTGATCCTCCTACCTCTACCTCCCAAGCATAGGAATCTAGAGACATGCATCACTACCCCAGCTCTTACTCAGATTATTTTATTAAAGATTTATTTTATTTTAAATTTTACTTATCTTCTACTTGATATGTACAGTGTGTGTGTGTGTGTGTGTGTGTGTGTGTGTGCGCACGCTATGTGTGTGCTATGTGTGGGTGAGTGTCAGGTGGTTGTGAGCTGTCCAACGTGGGTACTGTGAACCGAACTCGGGTCCTTTGAAGGAGTAGCAAGTGTTCTTAACCACTGAGCCATCTCTTCAACCCTTTCCTTATTCCAATTTTGTTTGTTTGTTTGGGACAGGGTCTCACTATAGCTTTGGCTGGCCTGGAATTCATTATGTAGACCAGGCTGGCCTCAAACGCACAGAGATCCACCTGCCTCTGCCTCCCAAGTGCTAGGATTCAATGGTGCATCACTATGCCAGGCCCAAGTCTTTTTAAAGAGTGTACTGCCTGCATGTACATAAGTGCACCTATGCCATGCAGTACTCGCAGAGGTCAGATGAAGGCTTTAGAGTCCCTAGAACTAGAGTTATGGACAGTTTTTAGCTGCCATGTGATTTCTGGGAACTGAACCTGGGTCCTCTGCAAGAGCAGCCAGTGCTCTTAGCTGCTGAGCCAGCAGCCCACCCCCTCAACTCTTTTTTAAAAAAATAATGTTTTGATCTGGGCATGGTGGTGCACGCCTTTAATCCTAGCACTTGGGAGGCAGGGGCAGGCGGATCTCTGTGAGTTCAAGGCCAGCCTGGTCTACATAGTGAGTTCCAGGACAGCTGGGGCTACAGGGAGACCCTGTCTCAAAAATACCAAAAAAATGTTTTGATTTACTTATTTTTTTAATATTTTATTTATTATTTTTATTTTATGTGTATGTGTGTATTGCCTGCATGTAGGTAAGTGCACCCGTGTCATGCAATGCCCATGGAGGACAGAAGAGGCTATTGGATCCCCTGGAACTGGAGTTACCGACAGTTGTTAGCTGCCATGTGGGTGCTGGGATTTGAACCTGGGTCTTAGTGCTCTTAACTGCTGAGCCATCTCTCCAGCCCTGATTTACTTATTTTTATTTTATGTGTATGAGTGTTATGCCTGGATAAGTGTAAGTGCACCCACAAGTGCAAAATGCTTTTGGAATACCAGAAAGGGTTGTCAGATCCCCTAGAACTGGAGTTTCAGATGGTTGTTAGTTGCCATGTGGGTGCTGGGAACTGAACCCAGGTCCTCTGCAAGAGCAGCTAGTGCTTTTAACCTCTGAGCCATCTCTCTCCAGTCTCCCTATTTATTCCAGTTCTTTTTTAAAAAAAATTATTATTTTTATTTTATGTGTATGCATATATTGCCTGCATGTAGGTAAGTGCACCCATGTCGTGCAATGCCCACAGAAGACAAGAGGCTGTCGGATCCCCTGGAACTGGAAGTATGGACAGTTGTTAGCTTCCATATGGGTGCTGGGATTCGAACCCGGGTCTTCTGCAAGAACAGTCAGTGTTCTTAACTGCTGAGCCATCTCTCCAGCCCTTATTCCAGTTCTTAAAGGGAACTGCAGAGCTCATCAACTGTGATGCAGTGGTAAAGCAAAGCAGTTCTGGAGCCAGAGTCCCTGGGTTCAAAACCAACTTTGTTACTTACTAGCCAAGTGACCTGAAATATGTTCCTTAACCTCTACGTGCCTTAATTCTCCATAACATAGGAACATTAGTAGTACCTACTTCCTAGAGTGATTTTGAGGCACAACGTACTTTCAAAGCACTTTGGATATTGCCATTCATTCATAAAGTACTTAAGAAATGCTAGCCCTCAGCCGGGCGTGTGGCACATGCCTTTAATCCCAGCACTCGGGAGGCAGAGGCAAGCAGATCTCTGTGAGTTCAAGGCCAGCCTGG